TCACTGCTCTTCTGCAAGAGCTTGAAAGTTTTCGGTCTTCAGGCTCTAAGAGTATTATCTTTAGCCAGTGGACTGCTTTTCTAGATCTCCTCCAAATTCCCCTCTCACGGTATAACATTTACTTGGCTTGCTATGGCAGTAATCAGAAAGAAAAAATGTTTTCAATCAATTTTTTTCGTTTTCAGAAACAATATTTCATTTGTTCGTCTGGATGGCACGCTAAACCAGCAGCAACGGGAAAAAGTCCTCAAACAATTTTCTGAAGATGGCAGTATCATGGTTGGTGTAGCCGCATTACATTTGATGAAATGTTCAAAATTAATATTTTCTAGTTTCGAAAATTTATTTGACATTTCTCTTATTTAACTGTTGTATAGGTAATGTTGATGTCTCTAAAAGCTGGTGGTGTCGGGATAAATCTAACAGCTGCGTCCAATGCTTTTGTCATGGTATGCCATTAATGTCCCTTACAGATCATGTAATAGTTTGTCAAATAGTGTACTGCACTATACAACATAGGTTTTGAAGCAGATTCAGTAGAAAGTAAACCAAATTGTGTTGTGTAGGATCCATGGTGGAACCCAGCAGTAGAGGAACAAGCTGTTATGCGTATCCATCGTATAGGACAGACTAAGGAAGTCAAAATCAGAAGATTCATCATTAAGGTACCTTCTTCTTTCTCAGCCACCGAATCCTCGTGCACCCATATAAAACTTATCTTTGATGCTATCTTAAACTTGTTGGGAATATTTGTATTGCATTTGTGAAACGTAGGGAACAGTTGAGGAGAGAATGGAAGTGGTTCAGGCGAGGAAACAGAGAATGATCTCAGGGGCTTTAACAGATCAAGAAGTACGAAGTGCACGTTTAGAGGAACTCAAGTTGTTATTTACCTGAAACTTTAGAAAACCTATTATCAAGTCTGATGATGCCTGAAGTCTTATCATACAATGAAACTTGTCACATTATATACAAAGGGAATCAGACATTACAACGTAACTGAAAATGGGGTTTGCTCTTTTCAAGAGATGATGGACAGTTGTTGTCACAGTTATGGAGATTCTGCAGAGAGGGTTCCAAGTGTATCTTAAGCCCATGTGGGCTTTGTTGTATGTAATATAGAGAGCTCTTTGTAATTGGAGTTCCAATAATAATCTTTAAAAATTAAAATGTTATATTCACTAGTAATTGAGTCAACTCATATAAGAATCATCAGTCACTAGTCACCTAATCCAGTATGTTTGTATGTGGCCAGTTCAGTGTGTATAACCTGTTATGTATATTAGTATTATTCTATACATATTAATATATGTGGCCTGATCACAGTGTGTGTATAACCAGAAAATTATATTTTATCATTATTATAATCTTTATTTCCTGTCTAAAAAAGTAGTGCGTGGATAAATCACTAGAAAAAGTAGTGTATGCATCACTTAATCAAGGCCTTAAATGGAGGAAAAGGTAAGACGTATAGAGATAAATTGGTTCGGAAAGTCATATATATTCTATTATACTCCTAATGAGAACAAACAAATCAAAAGTAAATCAAGCCAAAAGCAAAAGGAGGCAAATCAATTTGATTATTCCACTAGGAAAACTACATTTTACGGATTTTTAAACTTTGGATAACACAATTTAAACTTGCTCAGTTTGATATAAGAAAAGCATTATACATGTTAAACGCTCTCAAACTATATATAATCTAAATAAATTTGTCTGTGTGTTCTATGTACGTAGAATGTGAAAATTTTGAGCTTAAACTGATTAAATTATCAGAAGAAAATCTTAAAGCAACACATCGGCGTTATGTCGACACGAAGATGTGTCTTTATACGTCGCCACTACACTTATTTGTCAAAGCAACCTTAATTTTATGAAGTAAGAAATAACATAATCTACACACAGACATCTGTCCTTTGATTGAGGAGCTTTCGTACCTAAAAGAAAAATTTTAGTTGTACATGTTTGGACTTTGGACCTGCGTGAATTAATGGAGAGGTTTACCATTTCCAACGTTGAGAAAAGTACCCAAGAAAAAGTAAACCCAAGTAACTTTAAAAAAAGAAATACATTAGATTTTATCTTTGAATACTTTCTATTTGGAGTATCTCTACTTACTAGTGGTAACTTTTAAACCCTAATGAATAGTAGTTAATAGTGACGATCCACATGATTTAAGCGCGGGGTTATGCTATCTAGTTAGTTATTTAACTCATCCTCAGGAACAAATAATATGTTTTCGTGTTAATTTCATTTCTAAAGTTCAGTCCAAAGTTCCGGCTTGATATAGAGGCTTGTCTGGAATTTTTGAGTGAATGTTCTTATAACAACTTTCACCACGTGGACGACGTACTATGAGCATGACTGACTATGAATACCCGGTTTGAAATAAGTATAACTAAGTTTCAAAAATTATTGAAGAGAAAAACTGTTTCTACAAAAGTAAAATACTCATGACCAAAGCTACTAAACATGGTAGAAATTGGAAAAAAAAGTTGATGAAAACTTACGTTTTAAAGTTTTTTATGAGTTGACAAATGTTTTTCTCAAAATGGTCAGCACTGGTTTTAGATTTATAAAATTGGTTAACTTCTACCTAGATTGGTTTTAACTAGAAAAAATCAAGATCTGTAAATTGCTTTTGACCAATTGTAATAGACAGTTTAGATAATAAAGGATGACTAGTTACATAGTTTACGGATGGAAACGTTGAACTTTTGTAGTATGCAGGCTTGAGTTTTACTAAAAATCACGTAACTGGAATGTGGTCAAAAGTCAAGTACGCATGCTATTCTTCCACACTTTAAAATTTAAGATATTTTGAGCTAATTATTGTATATATTTATAACTTTCTTGTCGATGTAAGTGAGAGTATGTAATTAACTCTCTCAGAAAAACTGACAATATCAAGCAATAAATAGTCCTCGTCATCCCTCAAACACGAGAATGTTGCCTTGTTTAGCCACTTTCTAGTTATTTTATTCAACTAATTTCGTGTTATCTAATTTTTGAAGATGAAAGAAACATAAAAATGTTAATCACACAACTTTCTCGTGAAAACAGTTGAAAAGCATCACCTGAAAGTGAAGTACAAGTCCGATTAAAATGCTTATGGTGACAATAATTACTCCTATTTGTGGCAGCGAAATGCCTTTCTAAGTTCTAATCACCGCAATGTTATTATTATTGAAGAAGAAGAAAAAACAACTCTATTTTGAAAATAAAGTACTTGAATTATCCCATAATTTATTTTTATTTTTATTTTTGACACAGTCCATTATAATTATCTATAAATATATTGTGTTATTCTCTAGAGCCCACATTTACAAATTTAGCAGTGACTATAAAAATACGTATAATTAAAAAAAAACATTTCCAAAACAAGACTAATAAAAAACACTGAATAATCTTTAACAAAAACATTTCACTTGTTTGGGTAAACAAAATTATTTTGCATTTCAGAACTCGTGCCACACTATACACGAGAGAATTTCGGCATCCACGTTGCACTGATATACTAAATTATATGGAGTTTGCCGACGATACATGTCAATATGTCATCGTCAAAATTCATCTATACATCAATCGGGATGCAGTACTGGTTAGTGGTTACGATTGTGAGAAATATACAATACATAACAAAAGTCACCACCACGTAAAATTAATACGACGTATGGAAGACGTTGTAGCTATCTCCTGTGTACAAGCTGAAAAGTCACACCATTGAGCATTCAGTTTCACTAACCACGCAACAATCTAGTAAAATATGGTTTTCAATTAATTATCCAACAACAATGTACTATGTTTGGATGATTCTGTTACCATCTATTAATAAATGGCATTTCTATAAAGAATATTTTTCGTTTAATTTCACGTGAGTTATTATCCAACAACAATGTACTATGTTTGTATGATGATGAGTTATTTGCAAAAGGAAATAATAAGATGATATGTAATATACTTTTATTTGTTTATATTAAACTGTATTTATTTAAGATTTCGCTCTCACATTATTTTTGCAGCTATATGACCAACATATTATCATCTATATAACAAATTTAATTTTTGGTATGTCCATATTTTTGCATTGGCCGTTTAAAAGTTAGAGAAGTATGGTAGTGGTATATGTTTAGAACTTTACATTTTCTTAAATTTTTTCTTTCTACACCTGTTAATTTATTTTAATTGTAAATCAATACAAAATTTTAATGTTAACCTTCCTTTTAGTGTGCACGCTACTTCTTGAAATAATTATATTCCACTAGAAATACTGCTTAATTTGAGAAAAAATGAAATTTCTAGATAGTAATTTTTTTTCCAAGACAGTAAATTGGATGAGCCTAATAACAAAAGAATGAGTTAAAGTATAAATTAATAAAAAAGTCCTTAAAAGTTTACTCAAAATAAGTAGATTGTAAAAAATGATAAAGCTGCAAAAACCCAAAATTCCATAAATGGTAAAAAGCTAAAACTTCATCAAACCGTTAATCATTGTTAAGAAGAAAAATTAACTAGAAATCAATCTCTCTCCACTTTCTTACCCATTGGAACAAGAACTCAAAAAGTAAATCCTCTATTTTTTTTTTATCAGAACTTCCTTAACTGAAATAGATCCTCAGTTCCTCACAAAGGCCACAAAACCAAATGTCACTTATGTTTTTATTTTTAACATTTACTACTCTGTACAAAATCCCCAAAAAAAAATCAAATCTAAAATGGAAAAAAATATCCTACAAAAGGAAGAAATTAAATAAATTAAAGTGAAAAAAATAAATTCACCATTTATATTCCTGGTTTATCCCTTCTCTTTCTCTTCTCCATTAACCATCAGTTTCCTTCTACTCTCTCTTCCCCAAGTTTCCTCTCTCTCTAGAACCATAGAGAGAGCAAAAGCCTCTACTCTCCATCTCCCTCTCTCCTCCACTTCATAAACCCCATTTCCATAACATTCTAGAGAGAGAGAAAAACCCACCATTGTTTCACTTTAAGAGAGAAGGAAAATGGATGGTGTTTCACCAAAGTTTGTGTTACCGGAGACATTCGACGGCGTGAGGATGGAGATCACAGGCCAGCTAGGCATGATCTGGGAGCTTGTCAAAGCACCAGTCATTGTCCCTCTTCTTCAGCTAGCGGTTTACATCTGCTTGCTCATGTCTCTCATGCTGTTATGTGAGAGGGTTTACATGGGAATCGTCATCGTCCTCGTCAAGCTCTTCTGGAAGAAACCAGACAAACGCTACAAGTTCGAGGCTATTCAGGATGATGAAGAGCTTGGAAGCTCTAACTTCCCAGTGGTCCTCGTCCAAATCCCCATGTTCAACGAACGAGAGGTCTCTTTCATTGCTCTGTTTTTTTTCCTCTGTTTTCTTAAGAGTTTTTTTTTCTTACATTCTTTACCCCAAGTTTTAAGATTTCAAGAAAAGTAGCTTTAGATTTTACAAATATCACTTTTCCCCACGTATTCATCATATTCCTCCGCCGTTACAAATCCCGAAACGGCGAGAGTCGAGACACGTAAATCTTTAATGGTGGTATATGAATTTTGGGGGGGTTTCTGTATAAATCCATAGTTTAGGGCTTAATCGTAGTAAATAGCTAAATTATAGGGACTAAAAGTGAAAAAGGTTCCCCGTGATTTTTGCCTTTTCAGGTTTACAAGCTATCAATAGGAGCGGCGAGTGGACTCTCGTGGCCGTCCGATCGTCTCGTGATTCAAGTCTTGGATGACTCAACAGATCCTACTGTTAAGGTATTACTTAGTCCATTTTCAGAAAATATAGCTTTCCATTAAATAAAACAAAATTCTTAAATAAAACCAAAAGATTTACTTCCTTACGAATAATATTTTGTAAATAAAATTTGGAATATTAACAGATTTTTTTAATTAAATATGTGATTTAATGATTTTACTTAAAACGTGCAGCAAATGGTGGAACTGGAATGTCAAAGATGGGCAAGTAAAGGAATCAATATAAGGTATCAAATCAGAGAGAACAGAGTTGGTTACAAGGCTGGTGCGTTAAAGGAAGGTCTCAAACGCAGTTATGTCAAACATTGCGAGTATGTTGTCATCTTCGACGCTGATTTTCAGCCTGAACCGGATTTTCTTCGCCGTAGCATTCCATTTCTCATCCACAATCCCAAGATTGCCCTCGTCCAGGCCCGGTGGAGATTTGGTAAATAATTATTCAATTAAAACATATTCAATAATATTAAGTTTGATAATTCAGATTGATCGTTACGTTTCTTAAATTCGTTCCGTTGATCTATAAAGACTAGTAGTTAGTTATAGAAAATGAATAGAATTGACGTTTGATAAATAATAATGTTGTGAAGGTGTCAGGGTCAACATACTTACTGAACCGGTGTCTTTGTTTATGTATTATGAAACATTTAATGATGTTTTGATCATTAAATGAAAGCTCGTGGTTTTGGTTCTGTAGCTGCATTGGTGTCGGTGGTATATGTCCTTCACTAGTTTTTAAAATGTTTTTTCGCCTTTTTTTCCTTTTTTTCTTGCATACTTCTTTTTTCTATCACTTTTTTGGCTTTTCGAAATGGTATATTCGTCATTTTTGTACTTTTATTAAACATATTATTATTATTTGTTTTTTTGTATTGACTGATTGCAGAAGTAGGGTTAGTTATGTCTGTGTCGGCGGAGTAGCTGCATAGTGTATGGGTTTTTAGTGGGTTCACTTAAGCCAATCACAACTAGACAGACGTGTAAAAACCGTTGCCCATTGAATAAGTTAGCCAGGGTTATGTACACCGTGTTGCATGGATTATAGATTTACCTACACTCGACAATACCGGGTCGGATTAGTTGCGCGATTAAGGGTCAAAGTATATTTGCAAAAATGCTTAAAATAGATTTTCTTGTAGATAATGTTGCTAAACATCATGTCTTCTTATCTGCTCCGAAACTCCGGATCCGTCGGTGTAAACGAATCTCTTCGCCTCAGTTTAATGAGTCGGGTAGGGTTTTTAGGACAAGTAGGAGGCCAAAGTCTTTAGAAATTGTCGGGACTCTGATGCCTTCCACGTGCTTTTTGCCTTTCTTTAAATGTCATGTGTGGAACCCATTCTTGTCAGTAATATTAGTAAAGTGTTAGTATACAGTAGGAGTAACGAGTCTACTGTGGACCTGCCTTTTCTTGCCGACACTTGTTTGTGTATTTTATAGAATAGTTTTCTGTTTTGTCTTTATTAAGCATAAGTCCAACTTAGTGAAATTAATAATGAGAAAAGCTATATGAATATGATTGATTATTAAAGCTAAAAACAAAAGAGAAGGACGTTACTTCTGATAACGCCACATTTAGGCAATTATCTTATTAAATAATTTAATAAACAATAGCCGGATGATTTTTAGGAGTAATCTTATTATATATTTTTGCAGTAAATTCTGATGAATGCTTGTTGACGAGGATGCAAGAAATGTCGTTGGACTATCATTTCACTGTTGAGCAAGAAGTCGGTTCAGCAACACATGCTTTCTTCGGTTTCAACGGTAAGAATAATACTAATAATCTATATAGTGACTGCTTAAAGATTCGCTTAATTTCCTATAATGAAAAAAATTAAGGAGTTTTGAAAGAATAATGTTGACTATTTGATTTGGTCGAGTTTAGTGTAATGGAGTTGGTATGTTGTCCGACCAATTGAAGCAAAGTATGTGGACCTAGATCCTTTTTTGTAATGTTATGATAGTGATGTTAGGAGTTTTCAAGGCTCCTAGTCAAATGTTGTATAGTGAAGTAAGTTGTCGAACCAGTTCTGAGGGAAGTAGAAGCGATGAGAATGCAAGTACTAACTTAATCTAAGTGCGATCGAATGTTTGGTTGGTTTTAAAGTGAACTAAAACTAAAATGTAAATAAACGATATGACTTTAACTATGAAGGTAAATGA